TATAAGAATTACTATTAATATATATATATATATATATATATATATATATATATATGTATATACATATATATGTATATACGTATATATATATATAAAGATAAAAAATGTTGTGTTTTATATTACTTTAGAATGAGCCATTTTTATCTACAGAGGGAGCAGATCCACTTGCATGGAGGCTGTCATGTTGAACCGCCATGTTTCTACAGTGACCCAGAATGGACAAACCAAACACAAGCCGTTGAGTCAAGGAGTTTCTGTTGGTTGCAATCTGCAATCTCACTGCTAGATGCCACTAAATCCTACACACTGGTCCTTTAATTAATTTGACATGTGAATTATTTCCTGTCTATGCGCTCTGTAAAATTTGATCAACGTTCAAACTCAGCTTTAATTTCAAAATGTATCAGGCTAATCCAGGGCCAGATTAAGAACAAAAATAAATGTATTTAGTAAAATGAATCATGCCCGTACAATATAAACCTTAAAACTAAATTTGAACTCAGGGGTCCCTCTGCTAGATGGGTCTTCAAGATTAGTAATAGTGCAAAGCCCCTGTCATTTTAATTTACAATGATCCTTAAATGGTCCATACAATATGAACAAACCAATAAGTGTCTGGGGCCCAGAGGCAGTTGTATGCTTTGCCCTGTTGGTAATTCAGAACAAATCACTGACTGAATCATTGAGAAATCACTGCAGAACAAACTGTCTCAGTTTGATAAACAATCTTATTTATAAATGTATCAGGATTTTTCAAGGAGCTGTCAACTACATCTCATGGTCTCCTACAGCACATGGAGTTTCCTCAACAATCGCCCTCCACTGAGGAAGACCAAGCAGTATATAAACATTTAATAAATGTTTTAACACACTATAATGAAGCTGTAAGCAGATGTAAGTATGTTATTGATATACAATGATGATCATTAAAGGTGTGTTTTACTTGATTTTCACTCATTAGCTGTTTGCACCAGTCTCTATGTGGGTCTCTACAAGAGGAGTTGTTGACGAGTCACTCATATGTGTCATCATCACAGTGTGTTGCTGTGTATGAATGCTGTATAGGGGGAGTTAAAGTGCACTCCAAGTGTATAGTATAAGGGCTGCATCTGTTTCAATGTTCATACTATATAATATAATTGCATGAGTTAAAATTGAATTTGCTGTCATGTGATGATACTGTTCCACATGAGCATGAATGACACTTAAGTGGAGCTGCTTTTGTGCCAAACCTTTTCTCTCTGTGTGGCAGTAACATATGGCAGTAGATTACTCTGTTGCTGAAACATTATACTCTCTGTTGGATAATGCATATGTTGTCTCAGTCCACAACAGCAGTCCATCACTGCGTATCAACGGTGAAAGCTTTTACACCAAAGATGTTTTCAGTGTGTTTTTGTTTGCTGCTCACTGTGTGTGGTTTTACAACCAGCAGAGCCGTAGAGTGAGGTGATTACTGAATTACACAATTATTCCGCTATCATAGCTGTGGACCTGCATGGTTTAATAGATGGAACATTTCACTCATATTGCCACAATTAAGTGCTTGTTCACTACTGAGACAACACATTCAAAAACTGAATTGTGCCCTCAGCTGCAGGAGAATAATAGGTACTAGAATAAGCAGCACTGGTTATGCACAGTGCCATTTTAGCATTGTATTGTAACTATTTTCCACCAAAAAAGTGTAATCAAAAGCTGTGGAATTCATCAAGAGCATGTTTCTATGTTCTCGTATGAGAAAAGGCTTTATATTCAAACAGCTGGACATCTTCCCACTTGAGTTGGTCTCAAGAGGACATCACACTGACCGCTGGCCTCAGAGCAGCAGGAATAAAGCCTTCAGAATCAGAAAGGACACCTTTCCTTTTAAATGGGAATTATTAATTTGAACTGTTTTAGGTTCTGCGGGCTCCTGGATGTCTTTAGCATCTCAAACAACACATTCTTACAGTCTTATTGACTTTTCACAACTGTGCGTAATTTTTAGGAGAATTGATTACAAACAGACTTTCAACAGAAATCTGCTATAGAAAATGACACAGCACTTCTTTTTGGGTGCTCAGAGACCTCAGCTGTGACACATTGATTTCTACATGCTCTATATTTGCGAATGATGCTTTTTATGCTGCACTCAATTGGAAGAAGTATTCGGAGCCTTTACTTAAAGGTTATATACAAAATTCACTGCCACTAGATGTCACATTAGAGCACTAGCACCAAAAAAAAAACAATAAAAAAAGAGTGCCATGTCTCACCAGACTCCATTGACAAGACCAGCAATTTTAAAATCGCAGAAAATCGTAAAACACACTTTGAACTCAACAGAAACAAAGTAAAACTCACAAATTCCAACTTAAATTCTTTTCACTGTTCCAAGAATTGCCAATGCTGGATAAAACCATAATTCGCTGAGTTATAAATATGATTCGGAAACAGGCCAGACAAACATAATCCTCGGTGACAAATCATGGGCATCAATCATGCCCATCAAAGTACTTCTACTGAAAGTACTTGCGTTTGCAACTGATAGGCTTAGATTCTAAGTGTCTGACAACACTATGGAAAGAATTGCTACAGACAGAGAACGTTTTATTGAAGAGTAATATCTGTTATATAGTTTGTTGATCTGATTGGCAGATGGTTCGACAGATGGTTCATTCAATCACTGCCTGCCAAGTATTCTTTTTTTGAGAGTGCCTGCCCTTTCCCAAACTCAATTTCCCAGGTGGTTTGGTGTAACAAACAATCTGGCATAGTCAAGTTGGATCACTGTAACGTTGTAACCTCATTCACACGGGACAGAAACAAAATAAAATTCACCAAAACAAACAATCACCAACTATGCTTTGGTTTAAGTAAATCCTTTATTCACTGAAATAGATAAGAAAAGAAACTGCAGTTTCAGTCATTCTGGCTGTTTTTGTGAAAATACATACATTTCACCTCTTTGGGCCTTAAACAGTTATCCATCTTAGTTATTCTCCGGGGTAAAATTGACCTCAAACATCTAGTGTCACTATGGATGATGACACATTTCGTTGCCTGTGAATGAGTTTTTGGCAAACAAAATTAATATGTTCATGAACAGCCCATTAAACTATTGTGTATATATATATATATGTGTGTGTATATAATATTATAACAAAGCTTTATGGTCAGACATCATAGACATTATTATCAGTACTTTTCTACATATTGGATTGAATAAGATCAGAAGAAAAACTAATACAAAGTTTTAAATTTTAAGGAAAAAATGGTTGCTTTTGCAGTTATTATTATCATCATCATACCGCAGTGGGATCTGTGGGACCTCAATAAGGAAGTAAAACCAATGTCAACAAAAGTTAAATAAAACAGGTCAGGATTAGACGTGTCAATATATATATATATATTCTGGTAAAAAAAAAGAAGCCCTCGGACTGCTCATACATTCATCACGGCAGGCCAAACCATTCAGTGTTTCATTTCCAAACATAAGTTAGAGAAAATTGTTAACCAGAAGCTTTAATGTAAATTAAGGTAAGCAGCAGATGGTGCCTGAGATAAAAACGGACATCTTCTGCATTATGTCTCGGTAATCCAATCCTACTAGATGCAACTTTTGAGAGACTGCAGGGGGAAAAAGTGGTTTGGCAAAGGCCCTGCGATCTGTTGAATGTAGAGTTTGTTTGAGGGGTGAGAAAATATGTCATTTCGGAGTCGTGGTTTATTCCAACGTAAGAGAGTGCGCACCAATCAGAGGCTGTTACGCTCCACCCTACCTGCCTCCTCTCCGCCCCCCCTTTTCCATCCACATAGGCTACTCACTACTGAACACGACCTGCCGCTTGCTGCCACATCTGGAGACGCTTCCCAACACCAGAAACTTCAACTTTTGCGTTCACTCTGCGGAGAAAACACTCAGGCGTATACGAACTGTCTGTCCGTCAGGGTGTATTCGGGCTTTCTCTCGATAGTAAGTAGAGATTCTTGAAGTCAAGTTGGCGTTCCTCTCTTTCTCTTTTTTTTACATCACCATAGGTAAACACAGCCCGTTTGGGAGTTTCATACATTCAGTTGCCGTAGAACTGCCACGCTACAATTTTGTTATACTTGAGTCTGGAAATAACATACATGACACATGTTCCATGTTTTAATTATGCGTAAAAAGCAAGCGTAACCAAGCAAAGTGAAGCGCAGCAGTGCATTGACTTGAGTTGATTCACGCAAATCAAGTAAACAGATGTAGCCTATGAAAAGTTAGTCATTCCACGCTCTGCTCTGTCACGAGATTGTTTGTGTTGTTAAATGTTAGAATTAAACCCTGTCTGAGACCCTGCTGCCTCCCTGCCGAACGCACAGATAGTAGATGGCTGCGTTGATGGTGACATGAGTCAGAGGGAACCAAATTGTGAAATTCAACAGCGACATGGTGATGGAGTGATGCATTTCGGGCTTATTTTTGTCCAACACTGATCTAACATTTGGAAGAGAAGACTGGAATAAGCCATAAGGCGCGCAGCTCCATACTGAAGTGTTTAAGTTAGTCTGAGGGGAAATTTAAAAGACCTAAAAATACAGCGTTGGTTTCTTCCCTACAAAGAATCATTTGAACTTCCCACCGCAGAGCGAGAGCGACATAAATAGTTCTGACATGTGGATGTAATTTCAGAAGAGGAAAAAGACAGATGCAGAGAAATAAAGAGAGCGGGCTGAGCCTGGGCATATAGTAGATTATAGGAAATTAAATCGAGGGCAGAGCGAGGCGATTACTGTGTTATGATCTCACAAGCCGCCATAAGCATCAAGAGGCCAGATGGAGTAAAAAAAAACAACTCGCTCCACTTTGAAGAGAGTTAAGTAGCTTAAATAATTTCATCCGAGCATCATCAGCGTCTGTGTGAGCCCGCAAGGACTCTTGGAGGTAGAGTTGCCTCAGGTCAGGGATGGGATCCGCACTGCCGCTCCACAATCTGCTGGACTTTCTTCTCATCTCACTACTCAGCAGTTTATGCCTGGTAAGTCATTTTTTTATACACACACACATGCAACCAGGTAGTCTGTGTAATAACCCAAATGGTGTTTGCATGCTGCATTTGTGAGCTGTAGACGTCCAGCGGTGCCTCCTCTGTGCACAGATCACTGACAGCATGTCAGAGAGCAGGTAGAAGAGCAGCTATCATTGCAGCTGTTCATATCTGAGGGTTTTGCTTTAGATAAATGTTTGGGGGTAGATGTAATGCCACCAAATTTTATTCAGACGAAACACGCTCATTTATCATTTCTACTAAGTCTGCTTATTGCACCTCTTGCAAGATCATGATTAAAGTAGCCTGTACTCAAGGTTGAGGAAGGATGCTGACCTGCAGGATAAAAGCCAGAAAGAGAACCAGGGTCGAAGTCAAAAGCTTTGTACTTACATCAGCTCCACACCTTTTCGTGTCTCTGTGCTGCATGTCCCAGCTTTTTTTCTGGAATTGCTGTATTGCCCGTGAACAAGGCTGGATTGAAAAGAAATTGTATGTGAGATTACATTGTTGTAGACACAGTTGTGTATTATTGACAGTTTCAACTGGACTCAGGAGGCAGACAGGGCTCCTAAACAACAAGCTCCTGTGATTAATGATTACGCTCTTGTTCCATTAAATGCATTGTCCCACAGTTACAGCACAATAACAGAGTGTTTGTGTAAAGCAGCGCCTGGTAACCTAGTTCTTGTAATAGGCAGGGCACTGAGTTTACTACAGATTGTTTCATAGTCTTGCAAAGCTCTCACCTGCCTGAACTGAAGAAATGCTTGCAGTCAAAATGGGAGTAAATATTTAATTCACAACTCCAGCAGCACCTGAACAATTTCACCTCTCTGAAGCCCAGCTGTAATGATTTACTTTACTGCGCGACATTGTGATTTATAATTGCGCTTTCAAATATTGCCATAGCTGTATCCAGAAGGCCTGGTGCGCGTACACACACACACACACACACACACACACACACACACACACACACACACACAGGGTGCATGCAGAGAAGCACACCAAGTTGGTTCTGTGTGTTTTGGCTGAGGCTGTTGTGCATTCAACAGGCAGTTCGCCCAGGCTCTGAGGTACAGTGCATTTTCCCAGTGATGTGGTCCATCACTGTACCGCAGTGGACCTCTAGGCTCATTGGTTTAGATGGCAGAGGAAAACAATTATAACATAGCTGTGTATTTATAGCTGATTCAACATTCAGTCGTTAAAAGGCTCTGTCTGTGAATGATGTTTACCCGTTTTTTAAGCTTGGTGTTTGCTTAGTCTTCCTCTCCACAAAAAAGGTAATTTTCCTTCCAAACTGTGACCAAACGGTACGTAGATTTCACTGAAAGTTAAGAGTGGAAAGTCTGCGTCTCTGTTTAAACAAAGAATACAAAACCTTTAAAATTGAGACACACATTTGTCAAACTAGAGGACTGTGTCACTTTCTGCAGGGAAATGATGATATCCTGGTATCATAAATACAAATATTCACTGGTACAACAATATGAAGCGGTTAGGTCCATACATGTTATCCATCATTTTTATCTGAAGGAAATCAGGAATCGCTCCATTATGTTTCACATCTCAGCAGACATGCTGCAGTGACAGCTCACAGACAAAGCACGACCTCACAGAGCCTTTGTTCGGTGTGACTGGCTGCCTCACTTACTCAGTTATTACATTTATTAAGCGGAAGCATGGCTTTCAGGAACCTCAGTGAGCATTTAATTTCTACCTCATGACTGTGTTTGCCTCCGTGATGACTTGCATGTGTCTGGATCCTCACTGGAAGGACTATCTGTATCCGCCTGCCATAGCCAAGCATTATGTCAACTCTGGACAAAATATGACTGTGATGACTGTCATGTTTTGTAGTGCAAAGTTTGACTAGATGTGGAAAATAGCTGTTGTTGACAACTTTAGCCCAGAACTTTTGTTTGGCTTGGTTCCTCAATGTGGCAGAAATGTCTCGATTAAATCAGTGTTGAATTGGACCTGAAACTTGTTAACATTAACTAGTATACACATAATATCTGTCAAAGTTAACTATAAAAGTGTTAAAATGTCCAACGCTTTATGTCTAATCTTTCTCAGTAGTACTCATTTGATGTTCACAGACACGAGTAATTGATTGAAACCACAGGATCAAGAGTAGTTTCATGAAAATGCATGTAACAGTAGAGACAAATGGTAGATTTTATAAAAAATCACTGCCTCACTTTCGCCCCTAAGTCTATCATTTGAAAGCTTATAGAGTCCTTAAAAACACACACACTGTATCTCCCTCAGAATAACCTTTCAGAGTAGCTATATCCAACTCTAGCAAATTACCCTCAATGGAACTTCATAGCACAGATTAGAGTGTGGGATAATCTCATCTTAATCTGTCTCCGGTAATTAGGGGCAGCAGATTACTTCTCACTAATTCATATGAACTGCTGGTGCATTTGTGGAATAGGCTTTAATATTTAAATTTATTTTTGCATGCTCATTTAACTGATCTGCAGTATGACTTATGATCATCTTTATTTTCCAGTTTCCTGTGTGGGTGTGTGTGTGTCAGAATCGGAGTATGAAATGGAGCATCTCCTTATATGTATTCCACAAATTTGCTCTTTGCTGACTAATTTGGGCAAAACTGGAAAGTGTATTTGATTGCCTCTTTTAATTATACTTACTCTGCAGCTTCATGCAGAGAGTTATTAATTTCTTAATAAGAGATGATGCAGTTGACTCTGCTGTGTAAGGCTTAGTGATAGTTTATTATATTCAGTAATATAATTTATCGTCTCTCTGTATAATGTTATTTGGCAAAATTCTCATAAGAATTTAATACATTTTGTAAACAAAAAGTTTGTAAAAAAATAACCTCGAACTAGGATTGTTTTCAGAAAACACTTGACACTGACTTTTTGGTGTGTTTATTTTGAATATTGCAGTTGAAACTGTAAAATAATTGTTGTGACAGTGCTGCAATGATTATTTGAATATTAATTTTGTCCATATTGACCAAGGAAACTAAGCCATTTGTGTGAAAAAGATTTCTTTATCAAATATGGCTGTTTTGACTCATTTGCTATAAGTAAATCATTATAAAATCTATTTGAAAAGAATAGTTGAGTGACAGAGACAGCACATGTAACCAGTATTTACTCAGGGAGTTCAAACGATTTGGACATCCCCTTGATCGTGATTCCCGCTCTTATCAGGCCCCATTAAGACATGTAGGGACAACAAAGCCCTGTCAGGACCGATTTGCTCATCTCAGTGTACATGTCTGTCAACTGGCTGTCCTTTCTTATTTCTTTCATTAAAGGAAGAATCCACTGCCGGATATACTTACACTGGTATTATCATTATGTGTGGTGTTTTCAGTATTCAGTACAATTTTATGATGAAGGACATAGCTTGTTTTGTTTTGTTTTTGTGTGGTGCATGGCCAGCCTTTATATGATGACCTTTTACTGCTTCCAAGTGGGAGAGGAGAAGCAGTAGGAGGCGTGTCAGCAATTATTAAGTAGCAAGTGCAATTCGGTGGTTAAGAATGACCAAGATTTGTTGGCCGATACATGTGTATGATGCACATTTTGTTATCTGATATTCTTAGGATTTTCCCACAGAATGAGCAGATTTTACTTATATTAAAGGTGTATTTTAGCAATACATTAGTGGTGTACATTTATGCTTATGTTAACCAGTCTCCATTGGTATGCATGAGCTTCACAAAGGCTTTTACAGGATTGACATTGATCACTTCTCAGTAAGTTGCCTGCTGATTTACCTATCACTGTGCACTGCCCCACTGCCCACAAAAACATTGACACAACTGTAAGGAAGCCCCCAGTCTTAACACAGTTTATTTACTTACTTTATCCAGTTAGTTCAACTTGAGCAGCTGAGGATCCTTGGCGTGGTTTGCTAATTGTTGCTTAGATTGAGCGAACGTGAGCTCTCTCAAGGTTGGAGGCTACAGACCAGGCCAAGGGAGCACTGGCCATCTGGCCATTTGAATCCATCAAAATCCACTTGAGAAAAAAAACAAACAAACAGACTCATTGATAATCTATAATGTGGGCTTACAACCATCATCGTTTGTCAGAGCAATACTTGGATGAATGCAGTCTTTATTTGATGGTATTATTTTATTTTTATACATTTATTAGAGAGTCTATTAGAGACAGTTGGCAGTGACGGGGGGGGTTGACATGGAGCAGAGGGCTGCTGGCTGTTGTTGGGAGCACTTGAGCTAGTAAAATTTCATTATAAACCAGATTTTTAGTGACTTTCACATATCCTTATATATTTTGATTAGCTTTGCTTCATTATTTCTATTGGAATTCATGTCTATTGCCGAACACAAAACACCCAGTGAGCTTGAAATTAGCCCTCAGGTAGTTGTTACATATTTTTAATCTTAGCTAATCTGACATTGATACTAAGGATGAAACATTTTCCATTATAACTTTAATCAGGCTTAGAGTTAATTATTTTCATCCAACTGGGAACTCTCACTGTCTTTGCACAGCGCAGGTCTCTGATACTGATATATCTGGTTGTTTCATTGCAAAAAAAGCTTAATTAAATAAGTTGAATAAACTATGAGCGGGAGCTATATACAGAAAATGTCTCTTTGCGTCATCGCCTAATATCATCAAACCATTTTCCACATTGTGCAACAGTTCTTCTAAGATAAGAGCAACACAGTAACCAAATGTTTTATCTCCTCCAAGCAAATTAAATTTAGGGTGCAGTATAGCCTGTTCATTTGTGATGGCTCTCCATCTACCCCACAAGGACAGCAGAAGCTTTTATGTTGGATCCACTTGAGACTGCTCTCTCTCCACCACAAAAATTACAGGACTGCTATTGTGCAGAAAATAATTGCATTTAAAGGGAAGATAAAGAGCTGGTTTGATTGGTCGTCACTGATGATCATTTATTGTATCTCTGCAAGTTCCTTTCAACTGTGAAACATGTGTGTTGCATGCCCCTGGCCGTAA